CACAAGCTGGCAGAGGATAAATTCAGATTAGACATCAGGAGGTGCTACTTCACTGTCCGGGCAGCTAGGATCAGGAACCAACTTCCAGGTGAAGTGGTGCTGGCTCCTACCCTGGGGGTCTTTAAGGCAAGGCTAGACAAACACCTTGCTGGGGTTGTTTGACCCCAGTACCCTTTCCTGCCACGGCAGGGCGTCAGACTTGATGATCTGCTCAGGCCCCTTCTGACCCTACCAACTATGAAACTGTACTGCCTGCTATGACTTGCTCTTAATATATATTTGAGGGGAGTCTGCCTTCAGAGGCTGGAAAGCCTCTTTTGTGGAGTCTTCTCTTCTTTGGCTAGTCCTAGGGGTTACTCCTCACCCTGCATCAGTCCTCGGGGCTGGTCTGCCCAAACTCCATGGGGTATACTTCCCCTTTAAGATGGCCCTAGTTGTGCCTTAGCGGCTATAATCATGGCTTCCAGCCATCCACATAGCCACACACATGCCTCAGATTTACTGTAAATTGCTACTCGGCAGAGACCTCCAGGCCCCAAACTGACACTGGGCCCCTCAGACCAAAAACCGTTGCCTGGGCTTCAGCCTTCCTGGCTTCCGTCCTTTTGATCTCGTTTAGCCCCCTCAGCCCAGGCCCACTGCTGTAGGCTCTGGATTCCTGGGTCTCAGCCCCACAGATCCCTGACCAAAGCTATTCTTAAAACACAGAGCATTCCTGGCATCCTGTTTCATGGTTCTGACCTTCCCTACAGCTACTACCCAGAATCATAGAAAATTAGGGTTGGAAGGGACCTCAGGAGGTCATCTGGTCTACCCCTCTGCTCAAGGCAAAACTATCCCCAACTATATCAACCCAGCCAAGGCTTTGTCTAGCTAGGTCTTGAAAACCTCCAAGGATGGAGATTCACAGCCTCTCTGGGTAGCCTGTTTAACTGTTTTACTACTTTCCTAGTGAGAAAGTTCTTCCTAATATCTTGGGGGAACTTCCCTTGCTGCACCTTGAGACCATTGCTTCTTGTTCTACCATCTGAGAAGAGTCTAGCTGCATCTCCTTTTGAACTCTACTTTAGGTAGTTGAAGGCTGTTATTAAATCCCCTCTGAGTTTCTCTTCTCCAGACTAAATAAGTCCAGTTCCCTCAGCCTGTCCTCAGAAGCCATGTGCCCCAGCCCCCTAACCTTTTTAACTGCCCTCCACTGGACTCTCCAATTTGTCTATATCCTTCCTGTAGTGGGGGGGTCCAAAACTGGACACAGTACTCCTAATATGGTCTCACCAGTGCCAAATAGAGGGGGATAATCACTTCCCTTGATCTGCTGGCACTGCTCCTTCTAATGCAGCTTAGTATGCCATTAGGCTTCTTAGCAACAAGGGCACACTGTTGGCTCATATTCAGCTTATTGTCTACTGTAACTTCCAGGTCTCTTTTTGTGGAGCTGCTGCTTAGCTGGTCGGCCCCCAGCCTGTACCAGCACATTGGATTGTCCTGTCCTAAGTGCAGGACTTTTCAGTTGTCCTTATTGAACCTCATGAGATTTCTTTTAGTCCAATCCTCCAATTTGCCGAGGTCTCTCTGAATCCTAACTCTACCCTTCAGTGTATCTAGTACTCTCCCCAGCTTGGTGTCACCTGCAAACTTGCTGAGGGTGCACTGCATCTCATCTTCCAGGTTGTGGATGAAGATATTGAACAAAACCAGACCTAGGACCAACCCCTGGGGCACTCCACTTGATACCGGCTGCCAACTAGCAGTCGAGCCATTGACTACTACCCTTTGAGCCTGATGATCCAGTCGGTTTTCTATCTGCTTTACAGACCATTCATCCAACCTGTATTTCCATAGCTTGCTTGTGAGAATGTTATGAGACTGTATCAAAACCCTTGCTAAAGTCAGAGTATATCACATCCACTACTCTTTCTGCATCCACAGAGCCAGTTATCTTGTCATGGAAGGCAATCAGGTTGGTCAGGCATACCTTACCCTATGTGAATCCATGCTGACTAAGTACCACAACCTCTACCAAGTGCATAAAAATGGATTCCTTGAGGACCTGCTCCATGATTTTTCGAGGGATTGAGGTGAGGCTGACCCATCTGTAGTTCCCCAGATGCTCCTTCTTCTCTTTCTGGAAGATGGGT